CCTTAATAAGTACTCAAGCTGAATACAAGGATATTCAATGATAAAGAAATGACATACAGGCCATACAAAGAATGTCTAAGGACAGGATTTTTCAAGGAAGTCTTCAGGGTATGCAAGGATGTTCTACGATGTCCAAGGATTCTATTAAGTGTTGAATCACTGACCGAGGTCGATGTTGCTGATTCGCTGGTCTAGTGTTGACTGTCCCAATTCTGCCGTCATCCACACTTTTATACACGACTCCACCACGTGTTCACGGTGGAGTAACGGGAACTTGTTTACCAAACTTTGGTAATCACATCAACATTACATGTCCTCATCACAACAGGGGGTTTGTTCGCTAGAATAAAGCTTTGTTTGAGAAAAAAGGACAAAGGATCCATTCCGTCGCAGTACATTTCGTCCAGCTTAGCCGGAATTTTCAATGCTTGCCTAAAATTTGAAAAAAGACTGGTAGGAGGCGAGGTTTTTTTTACCAAACCTAGTAAGGCAAATTACGCAATACCGAAGTCTTATCGACCGATCTACGTCTAACATCATTCATACTCAAAAGTATGGAACGAAAAACCGACTCCATGATTAAGAGCAAGATCTCAAACGATATTTTCAAAAATAAACAACATGCTTGCACATTAGAGGACGTTCAGTGGAATCCGCTTTACATGAGGTTGTACACCATATTGAGAGCATTTCAGATCAAAAAAAGATTTATACACTGACAGTATGCATTGATATTGACACTTATCCAATCCTTAGATAATTTTCCATATTCTAAACTATAGTTGGAGAAGTTGCGGGGTACATGACGTAAGCGTAAGGGGACAAAGTTGGTCAAGGAACACCATAGGTAGGGATTTTATTAGGACTTTAACCAACGAAGGATTTGAACCAGTCTAATATGCAGACGACGTTATAATACTTCTGAGGGAAAAGAACCCGAGCCAAGTTGGCTTTGAAACTTGCATACAACTGGGCTAGACCAAGAGGTCTCAACGTAAGCCCGGAAGAAACAGAGATATGTCTTTTCACAAGAAAAACAAAATTGAGACACTCCGATGAACCAGTCTTCCTTAATCAAACAATCCATATTTCCAATGAGGTTAAATATATGGCTGTGATTCTTGATAGGAAATTTAATTGGAGAGACCACATCCAAGAAAGAGATCCTATGGAGAGATCCCCAATAAGGTAGAAACGAAGTACCTTTTATTATTAGCTAAGAAAAAGGATCAGTGGGGTAACAGGCATCCTTAGAGGGCATCTGGGCCTACAAACTCTTCGTACAAGATATGATGTGCAGATAACAGCATATGCTGGGCATGCGGGGAAGATGATATACCGTTGGAGCATTTCATCTGTCAACGCCTAGGGTCTGCAAATATCAGATCCCGATTCTTAGGGAACGACTCCATACCAGACCTTAATCATACCATGGTAAACAAAATAAAACAGCTAAGGAATTTTATCTTCTTTCAATAACTTAAGTCTAGAGCGAACAACAGGCCTATACTGGCCTCAGTATATGTCCATCAATACATGTAGCGATTTTTCAGCCCTCTAACATAACTTACCTATACGATTACAGCTAACTTTGAAAATACTTACCCATTACCTACATTTGAGACAACATCCAAATTTGTTTATAACCGAAAGGCAAAACGAGCTCTTCTTAAGGAAGCTAGAAAAGCTCTCATAGCAAGTATATTTTTTTCATGATATCTTCGAAATTGTTTTTTTGTTACAAACCTTCATACTTATTTATATAAATAGATTTCTACATCTAGACATCTGACTTTTTTAAACTTCTGCACTTTGAATTGAATAGAAATCTCACTTTCTTTGCACAAAATAAATTACACTTGTTTCTGGCTTCTCTCCCGCCAGACCTTTACCCATTTAATTGGTGTAACCTTATAGGTATTTGTGTATTGTTGTAAGCGCGCACAAATTATTCCCAAAACAATACACAAATCGATTTTCTACTAAATCATCCATCCATCTGTCCGTCCATCCATCCATCCATTCACAATGCCTGATTTCGAAGGTAGGCATGATTTAGGGCATAACAAAATTAAAAATAAAATCCAAACACGAAACAGCACCAATTTCTTTTTGGCAAAATTGTTTTCGGGTCTGTTCTTTTGTAGTTCATAGTCTTGCGGTTTTTGTTGTTGCTGTTTAGAAGCAAATTTAGATTTCGAACGGGCGGCTTTTGGCAGGGTCTGTCCACATGCAAATTTTGTTTTTTTTTTTTGTTCACGAACAGTGTTTAGGAAACCAGCAAAAATAAAGGTGATGATAATCAGCTGCTTGGCATCATGGTATGGTATATTTATTGACATAGTATAAAGGCCTGTCAGAGCCACACTCGAATCCTTTATAATTTGATGTTAATATACCATGCTACGACACCAAGATGTTTATGAATTATCACCCTTAAAAAAGCTACCAAAATCATTGCAAGGAAGGAAGCAAAAATTCCTTCTGTGCATTTGCTTCTATTTTTATATTCTTACATACCTCTAGGAAAATCCAGAAAGGTCCTTCTGCCCATAGTAGAAAGATCTTCCGAAAGAAGACTAAAAAGATCGATCAATAGAGGGTCAGAACAGTCCTGTGTTTACTTTTTATAGCAGAACAAAAAGCTCTTCCTATCGAAGAGAAGATAGGACCTGTCATAGATGACAAAAAATAAATTTTACAGAAGGTCAACATGATAGAATGTGGATGGATTAATCAGATGGTAGCAACATAACTTCAATGGATGAGTGAGCTGCAACTACTAAATCAGAAGAACTCGCGACGGTAGCAGTGTCATTGAAAACTCTGCTATCGATATAATGCCGTTTACTGAAAAGGGTAAACAATTCTCGTATACTTGGTGATGTCTGTCACATATAGTAATCACTTTGTTTTGTTGTTCGGGTTGTTCGGGATTTTAAAACGTTCACTTAACTCTAACCAAAAAAATGTTTTGCAAGGTATACATTTTTGAGTCAGCTCTCTTTAAGTTGGGTAGCCGTTAAGTCAGTTGCTGTGCTTCGGTTCGTTGTTCTACGCTCGTGGTTCCACAGGACCTTCGGGTCATTTTTTCACAGGGGCCTTTGGCTCGTTTTCCACATGATATTTTTTATATATCCATAGTCAACGTCTTTGGCTCATTGTTCCATAGGAATTTCACAGGAGGTTCGGTTTATTATCCCGCACATAGCTCAAATATTGAGAGTGAATTCGAGGTAGTCATATACGGTAGTGGTGGCAAGTTATATAACCAGTTAATAGCGACGACTTAAACAGCTACACTCGAACATCGCCACAGTGAGTTGCTGCTTCAAACCCGAGCAATTATACAAAGAGTTCCAGATTTATCTTAAGAGACATGGGCATCTGCTCCCAAAATACACACAGCGAGCTGCCGAACGCCATCGGTTATCTGACCACGAATTATCCCAAGTTGGTAGGGGTCACATTTAATAGCTTCTTTAAGTCGTCCGCCAATATTACAACTATCGCCCAGTGAAGGTTTTATCGGTACGACAGCATAACAAAATGCCATCAGTAGGGTATTTATGATGGCACAGAATAGATTAAATAAATTACCTTTGCCACCTTTCTGACCTTTTAGAGGTTTGTCCTTGATAAAGCCTGGGTTGTCCCAGTTTATTGACCAGCTTCTGTATGTCTAAGCATATGTTTGTGTGTCCATCTAGATTTTATTGGCTTCACGTGTCGGCAATTGTTGGAGAATGTGAGGGTTGGCCTTGTTAGAGTTGAGATTAGGCTAGTTTTTAGTCGAGATTGGCCTATTTTTTAAGCCGAGTTGGTCCAGTTTATTGACCCGCTTCTGTATGTCTAAGCATATGTTTGTGTGTCCATCCAGACTTTATTGCTTACACGCGCCGTCATTTGTTGGTAAGTGTGAAGAAAAAAAAAAAAAAAAAAAAAAAAAAAAAAAAAAAAACTTTTTCGTTTTGGTCTGTAATGGTCTCCCTCTCTCTCTTGCCCCCACCCCTTCTCCCTATTCAGCACCGTCTTCCACTATCCCCCTTCTTTCTAATCAGTGCCGAATTCCACTGTCCCCCATCTCCCTATTCAGTGCCGCCTTCCAATGTCCCCCCTCCCCCCCCCTTCTTTGCACCGTCCTCCAACTCCCTATTCAGAATCGTTCTCCACTATCCCCCTCCCCCCACCCCCTCTTCCACATACTTTCCTATCTTCCCATTGCTTTATACCGGCCCCTCTTCCATAGCATTGAAACAATCTCCCTGTTCCACAGAGCACTCTTCTTCATTAGACAATGATGCTCTTATCAGTACAAATTATTTTAGAATTGTGTGTCGATCTGTCGAGATGTAAGTCCGACCACTTACATGCTGTGACGAAATTGGTGATAGAAGTAAATTGTAACAGAAACATTGTTTTTATTTTGTTATTCGTTTGGGCGCATTATTGAATATTGACATGTTTTGTCAGTATTTGTATGGGACAAACTTGTTTTAATTAGTCATAAGTTTTTTCTTTGAATTCAAAGTTTTGAAAACTAGGAAAGAAAAAAATGTATTTAGTTCTATAGACTATTTGACGCCCTATATGTTTAATAAATATTGTATGTATGTGTGTGTGTGTATATCAACACACGATGATTTTGGCTATGTAAGGTTTTAATATGAATAGAGATTCATAAGACATGCAATGTGATGCGTTTAGATCCATGAGCACCAATGATTTTTTTTTTTTTTTTACAATATATCGCTCTGAAAGCAAAAAATAAATTTCAGTTCTAAATAACTATTTGATTCAAAAACATCAATTTTTTAAAGACAATTTTTTATATAAAAATGGCACCACATACATGTGATATTTGCGGATTGGTTTTTTATATTAAACGTGAATATGTGAGACACGCAAAAAATCATTGTAATGTTTGCAAATTATATTTTAAAAACCCATACCAGCTAAAATTTCACCAAAAAAATCATGGTTATGTTCCTGGTGATCATATGTCTAGAACAAGTTATTTTACGTCACCTGATTTCAGTAATCAGCCAACATCTTTACCCAACGCTATAATGCAGCAAATCAACAATAAAAATAAAATTGAGAGCAGTTACTGCAAGGAGTGTGATGTAGCGGTTCAAAACATCGCTATACATTCACGTAGCGAAGGACATCGACGCGTTGTTCGTCAATTGCTAGAGGACAACATAAAAATCGTGAAAAGTGCATACAATAATAATATTATTACATACGAGTATGAAAACTCTAAAAACATTTTGCTGCCAAACGAACTTTTGATAGATGCGAAAGAACGCCTTGTTACTCTAATAAATACGAATTTACACAAAAAGACAACAATTAAGTTCAATATTGAGCTTCAAGGAGAATACATTAAGCCTACAAATGAACAAGATGGTCCATCAACATCAAAGGATGCTGCTGTAAGCACTAAAGTGTTTACTCATATGTCCAAGATGACCTTGCTAACTTTGGCGGATGATGTAAATGAAGTCTTCCTTAACCATGCTGACCATATTCTTAACAATATGTCAGAATTTCAGGAGAGAGATTCTGGCTGGGCTTTACAGAAAATTCTTAAAATTGATGTTAACATTAATAAAGCCAGTTTGACACGCGGTTCCCAGTATATTGAAACACCATTTTCATTAGCAAAAAAGAAAGCCTGTTTGAACATTAGAAATAATGATGAATTCTGTTTTAAATGGTGTGTGGTGTCCGCACTCGGTGAACCAGCAAATGGAAGCCGAATCTATACATCATCCTACAACATTGATATAAGACAGGAAGTCTTGTATCTCCAAACGGGGATAGTTGTGGATTTTAGAGGATTGACATTCCCGTTGCCACTTAAAAGCATAAAAATTTTCGAAGAAAATAATAATAACATCAGTGTTAACGTGTTTGGCTACGAAAATGGGGAAGTTGTTGGTCCTTACTACCTTACCAAAAAGAATAAGCATCATCATATCAACTTGTTGTTATTACATAATGGAGAACAATTTCATTACATACATATTTTAGATATGTCACGGTAATATAAAAGCACGATAATACAAAACATGTTTTGGTTAACTTATTTATTATTTTTCATTTAAGGTTATTGAGAAACCAGCTAACAAAACATATGAATGCAACTCATATTTGTGATGGATGCCTACAACATTTTACCACACATAAAATCCTTGAAGGACACAAGAAGGAATGCGGAGGTGTTGTGACAATTTTACCCGAAAAGGACAACAGCACATTGAAATTTAAAAATTTTCATAAAAAGGAGAGAGTGCCCTTTGTTGTATATGCTGATGCAGAAAGTATTTTGGAGGACGTTAGTTGGGGTACCATTAACGGGAAAAAAACGGTAACGGTAAAAAAACATATACCATGTGCATTTAGTTATAGTATACATTGTAGTTTAGATAATAATTTAAATAAGTTCAAATCTTTTAGTGGTCCCAATGCAGCCAATGACTTCTTAGAAAATCTTATTAAAGATTCTAAATATATTTATAATAATTATTTAACGAAGACTAGACCAATGAATCGTTTGACACCCTTAGAATTAGAGGACTTTGATAGCAGTAGACTATGTCACATATGTGAAAAAGAGTTAGGAAATGATAGAGTTAAAGACCATTGCCATTTAACAGGTAAATATCGAGGGGCTGCACACAATAGTTGCAATTTAGAATATCGTGTTGCCCGTTTTGTCCCAATTCTTTTTCATAATTTCTCATCATACGACTGTCATCTTTTCATCAAAGAGTTAGTCAGATTTGGAGGTGATATCAGCGTTATTCCTCTAAATAAAGAAAAATACGTGTCCATGTCATATTTTGTTAAAACGAAAGAGTTCGCAAGCACTTTAGATGACAATTCTATTCATTCTGAAAAAAGAGAGAAAAATGCACCTAACCTAGAATTAAGATTCTTAGACAGTTTTAGGTTTATGTCAGCAAGTTTGGATAGTTTAGCGAAAAATCTTCCGCCCTCTGAATTTAAGGCAGTGAGAACACAATTTCCAAATGATGCCGACTTTAACCTCATGACTAGAAAGGGTGTTTTTCCGTATGAATATATATCTTCTTTCAACAAATTATTAGAAAATCAATTGCCCTCCAGAGAAGAATTTCATAATAAGTTGACAGATAGTGAGTGTTCATTAGAGGACTATGAACATGCATTGCGTGTTTGGAACCACTTTAATTGTCAGACTCTTAAAGATTATTTAGAATTGTATCTAAAAACAGATGTTTTGCTTTTGGCTGACATATTCGAAAATTTCCGTGATCTATGCATACGAGTTCATAAACTTGATCCATGCCAATATATAACAGCTCCTTCACTGTCTTGGGATGCCATGCTGCTTTGTACTGGGGTTGAACTTGAGCTTTTTACAGACATTAATATGTATAATTTTTGTAAAAATGGTATTAGAGGAGGGCTAACTCAATGTTCAACTAGACACTCTGTCGCCAATAACCCTAGTATGTCAAATTATGATCAGAGTAAACCTGACGTTAATATTTACTACTTAGATGTTAATAATTTGTATGGAATGGCTATGACTCAATATCTCCCAATAAAGGATTTTAAGTGGGTAGAAGAGGAAGAACTGGAAAAGTTTAATGACATTAATAAAATATTATCAATTCCGGATGATTCTCCAACTGGTTTCATTTTCGATGTAGAAATCGAATATCCAGCCAATCTTCATGATATACATAATGATTTACCCTTTTGCCCTGAAAACAAATGTATTGGGGGATCCAAGACCAAAAAACTAATTGCAGATTTTTCAGACAAAAAGTCTTACACCATTCATTATAGAGTTTTAAAGCAGTGTTTGAAACATAACTTAATACTTAAAAAAGTAAATAGATGTTTATCATTCACTCAATCTAATTGGCTGGAAAAATATATTATGAAAAATAATAATCTTCGAGCCAAAGCTACAAATGCTTTTGAAAAAGATTTATACAAATTATTCAATAATTCAGTTTACGGAAAAACAATGGAAAATGTTGACAAAAGGAAAATTGTTCAGATTAGAACTCATTGGGAGTCACATGGAAAACGATTGGGTGCTAGAGATTTTATTTCAAAACCAAATTTCCATAGTTTATCACAATTTTCGGAAGATATGGTGGCGATTGAAATGAATAAGGTCAAAGTAAAGTATGATAAACCCATTTATTTAGGATTCTGCGTTTTAGAGATATCCAAATGGGTGATGTATGATTTCCTATACGACTTTTTAAAAGTAAAGTTTGGAAATGATTTCATACTGAACTATATGGATACCGATTCGTTTATATTAACATTTTTTGGTCGAGACCTTTATCGAGAACTAACACTAGACGACATAAAGGCACGATTCGATACATCTGATTTCTCTCCATCTAACGTTTATAAACTACCGCTTCTTAATAAAAAGGTTATAGGTATGATGAAAGATGAGAACGCAGGTAAAACTATGATTGAGTTTGTCGGTCTTCGACCAAAAATGTATGCCATTAAAGTGAGTGATAGCGAAGAAGTAAAAAAATCTAAGGGTGTCAAAAAATGTGTATTAAAGAAATATACAATTGATACGTACAGAGATTGTCTGTATAATAAACAAAATTATTTTAATAGCATGTACACATTTAGATCAAGGAAACATGATGTATATACAGATAGGATAACCAAAGTTTGTCTCAGTTTTCAAGATGACAAACGGTTTATTAGGGAAGATGGTATACATACGTATGCTTGGGGACACTACAGGATTAACGAGGACTTTACAGATCTAAGCAATTTACATTCAACAATCCCAATGGATGTAGATTTGGACCTCAATGAATTACAAAATTCAAACTTAGGTACAATAGATGAGGTTTTAGACTTTGCTAGTAACAATGGGAATACATCTCCCATGAATGTAGAAAATATATTATCAAATTTTGGCGCATTAAACTCATTAGACTTAGCACATATACCACTATTAGATTTGAATTTAAATATTAATGATATACATAACATAGAATTACCTTCGCCAATAGAAGAACAATCTATTTTTAATATGCTAAATTAAAACATACGTTTGTATTTTTTTTTTATTTACTTTATTAAATAAAGAACAATACATTTTTATTTTTGTATGCTTACAACTAAAATATAATAAAATGTGTTTTATTTCCTGGAGGGGAGGGATGGGCTTACATAACTTTTCGCACATTGCCTGTCAATGGTATGTACTCCACCATACGATCGTGAATAATAAGACAATACGATGAAGTATTTTGTGGAATTTGTGTATTTGTTTCAAATTCGATCTTTAAATCAATTGGACCATTTTTTACTGTTTCATTTTGACTGCTTATGTCAATAACAGCAACTGAATTGTCTTTAAAACTAGAATAGGTTAGAAGCGGTTGTGGTTCCCTCATATAATATGTCTGTTGAAACTTGCTATACATATCATAAAGTATTGCATAACGATTCTCAGAGAATTTTAGATTTAAATCATCATAGGGATAAGTCTCCGAATTCAAATGAACTTTAATGTTTTGAAGATCACAATGAAGAAACTTGTTGTCCTTTTCGAATACTAAAGCGACATATCGTGGTCTCTCATGATTTGTTGACAATTTGACATTCCATGTATGTTTCCTTCCACCAACAAATGTTGGATTAAAATAGCAATCCCAACTTCGAAATGCTATAGGTAGCATCTTTCCATCTTTAATAGTTTTCAAGAAACTAATTTTTCTATAGTCAGACAAATGAATGTGTTGAACTTTCCACGTAATGTTTGTGATTGTTAGACGAATATCTTCTTTTGAGTCAGTTGAATAACACACATTTGTGTCATTAGCACTCCGCAAGAGAATCAAATCATGTTTGCTGTTACAAATTACTTTGTTGAAGTTTTCCGCAAATCCAAGCAATCGATTTAATGGTACACAAAAGTTAAAAGAGTTAGTAGTAAACTCAGCACCTACATTCCATCCCGCATTACTCATAACATTACTTTCTGATGCATTCAGGGAAAGCAAATTTTTAATTTTTGTTGCCATGCCAAGATAGCGTGTGCGATCAATCTCAACACCATTTAGTTCATATCGAATTTCATCAAACATATAACCCACACAATTATTCCTAAGTCTTGAATTTGGGGAAATTTCCCCATTTGCTTTTCTCAAATAACCTTCAATGTACAAAAAGCTTTCCGACGGTAATATGTAAAGATCTTGATTTTGTATGCTTATGCGTATTTCATCATTATTTTTAAAAGATTGAATATATGGGACATAGCTATGATAATCGCGTTTTACAATATTCTCATCGGAAAAAGGCCGATCATTTATATTAAGTATTTCAGACATTGGGTTTTACTTTTAATTTAAGTAATTTTAAAAATTCTTTATTTTCTTTGGTTAGAAAAGGTCTTGTCGGTTTGACAACTTGATGTTGAATGTTTTTAGAGGATTGTTTATTATTATATTTATTGTAGATAATCATGTTTGTCTTGGTCTTATATGAATTCTAAGTGTAATTTCTTCTCCTCGAAAGTTTATTAATCGCCCTTCTTGATCTAGTATTATTATTTCAAGACGAGTAATTTCCTTGACGTTCACCGGCAAATAAATAAGGTTCAACGGCCTCTCATCTATTTTATAGCCTGGTGGAACATCTAGAGAAAATTCATGCAGAATATGTGCAGGTGAATTATTCATAAATGACCCCGTTACAATATTACATTGTATTTGTATAGCATTCACCTTCATAATATTTACAGGAAGGGTTGAGATATGCTTCTTTCCCGGATCTAAAATTGTTTCCGTGAAACCAAATAGCTTAGATATAGATTTTTCCTTGTTGAAATAAATAGCATCATGAGAAGATGTAATTTCTACTTGTAATGTATTATTATTAGCTTTAATGTCAATAGATTTGTTTATATGAATAGCTCTGTACTCTGATTCCAAAAAGTCTGCTATATCTTGTAATTCATAGGATCCAATTGGTATTTTTATAATATCATCCCCGATATGAAATAAATTATTATCATCATCCACATTAGGAATTGAGTTATATGATTGGAAATCAATTAAAGCACACTCATATTCAACATCACCTAATGATATAGGTGGTGAATAATTCGAGCATAAACTTGAATTTCTCCCCGTCAAAGTAAATGTTCTTGACATTGCAAGATTCTAATTTGTAGTAAGTAAAAAACAATATGGACTTGAATTTTTATACTTTTTATTTCCAATAAAAAAAAAAAAAAAAAAAAGAAAATATTTTACAATACGTCATTCTTATTTATCCATGAATTATGTTGATTTGAAAATCCTAACCATTTTACAAAAACTTTTGTGCCCTTTGTTTTTAGAATTTTCTCGACTAAATATATATTCGGATGTTTTGTAGGTAAAAGTTCTTCTCTGTAGAAACAGCCTTGTATTGGGTTTCCTGCTAAATCTTCTAGCAAGTATGTTGTAGGGTTTGTTATTCTTATGGTTTTTATTTTAAATATTTCAGTTGTCCAGTTCGGTGTGTAACCCTTTTCAAACTGATGTTTATATTTGCTGATGCGAACATGATCACCAACATGCAGCTGCGATTTTCTAAATATTTTTAAATGATTATAAACAGTTTTAAGCAGTGACTTCTCATTTGAGGAATTAACTTGTATTGGTGCCATTTTTATAGTTCTATGAGGTGTTCTATTATATTTATTTAACAAGTCTTTATAGAGTTTAATCCAATGATAATTTCCATTATAACTAAACTCTTTCCACATCATTCCTTTTAGGGTTCTATTGAAACGTTCAACTATTGATGCTTTCAATACACTGTATGTGGAATAATGATTTATTCTATATTTATGCATGAGTTCCTTAAATGTTTTATTAAAAAATTCTTTCCCATCATCGGTTTGTAAATTCTTAGGAATTCGTCCGGCTTTCAATATTTTTTCAAATGCTGTACAAACTTCTAAGGCATTTTTAGTTTTAAGCGCTTCAGCCCATGCATATTTTGAAAAGGTATCTATAACTGTTAGCATAAACTTGTATCCCTTGTTTGCTTTAGAATAGTTGCCCATTTCAACTAAATCAGCTTGCCATAGGTCGTCAATCCCCTTTATAATAACCCTCCGCCTCTTAAATTTTTTTCTTGCCTGAGTGTGGAGTTCATTCACTAATCCCCGTTTTTCCATTTTATTCAGTGTAATATTTTACAGTGGAGTGAGTAAATGTGTTTTTCGATAAAATACCATAGAGGTCGTTAAGCGAGTGTTTCAAACGCGATATTTCTTCTCTTATATCGGAACACTCTTGAAATATGTTTTTCTTTAATATTTCTTGTAGGTTCTTGTTTTGCGTATGTACGTATGCTTGGTTGACCGCATCTGATCCTCCCGCCGGGGGCGCCAGGTTTTTAATTCTCTTATTTTGTATGTCCAGATTCTTATCTTCATCAATATTGATTCCCAGCACTCTCGAAACATTCCCCTTTAGTGTGGCTGAAGTATATTTTAGATGATAATGATGACCAAACTTATCCACTGTCATTGATTTTGTAATTCAGGTGATTAATATATAATATTTCCCTCTCTTAGTTCTTCAATAATAGAAACAATCTCATTTGTATGATTATTGTTTCCGGCTTGTTGTGATGCCAGCAACAGCTTTAATCGTTCTATCAATTCATTGGGATCATCCCAGTATATATAGTTGGGTTTATCTAGATGTACTCTCATTAGACCTTTACCACTGTGAGTATCCTCCATCAAGTGTTTAATAATATGTTTATATTTATATCCTCTGTTGGATTTGATTCGTTCATTATGTCTATAATTTACTTTATGAGCATTGGAGTCTAGCAAAATTTTTTTATATATTTCTAATTCTGAGGCATCATAATTTTTAGGGTTTTGATAAAAGAGAAGTTCAAATAGTCCTGGTGTAAATGCCCAATGTTGATTACCAACAATTATTTTCTGATCATCAACTCTTAATGGTTTATCCCCAAATCTCCATTCACCATGAATATCTTTGTGCGGTCCATATACTGTATCCAATTTTTTATTTTTATTCAAAAGGGAAAGATTAACGGTATCATCAACATCAGAATAGAATGTATCATCTATTGAATTGTTAGCAAGTGTATCCTCAGTCTCCGGTTCTGGCTTAATATCATGTTTAAATTTCTTAACCGGTGTACTCATAGCAAAAGAATTCTTATATGACTCAATACCACCTTTCTTAGGTACTAGGAAATTGGAGGCATTTTCATTCGACAATTTTAATAGTTTATGAATTGGCTCTGTTATGGGTTTGAAAGTATTTTTCAATTCGTTTGTTTTATCTTCCTCCCCCCTTTTAATGCTTTGTAATTTTCTTTTCAATGCCTTTCTGGATCTTACAAGACGTTTCAACATTTCTTCTTCCATGGTTGTGTTTGTACTAATAGAAGTAGTTACAAAAGAAGTGACTTAAATATATCTATGGTTGTATAAATATATGAAACCCCTTTCTATATCTTCCAGAGTTAATATCATCATCTTTGCTGATTGTTAGAAATCCATATTTTTCCTTCCAACATTCATGACATATTTCTTTAAATTTCTCAAAACTCATATCACTTCCAACGTGATCATTGTATATATGTTTTAAATTTAAATTATCTTGCTTGAACAATATAATCATATTTGCATTATCACGCAATAAATGTTTTGGAATCCGCGTATATGTTTGACATAAATAAAATGAATCAACATTCTTATGACGACCCATACTGAAGTAGATTTTAATATTATTTTGTTTATCACAAGCCACATCATCGAATATCATTACAGAGTTATGTCTTACTTCTTCTGGTTGCACGACATCCTCGTTATTACTGAATGTAAACAACCGCAAACCTTTGATAGAGGAAATAAGTTTCTTGAGATATTCATATTTCGGTTGATACAGAGATTTGGAATAAATATAAACATTTTCGAATTTAAGTCCATTTGGGCTTTCGATCAAACTTATCATTACGTTAGTTTTTCCACAATTCGAAGGGCCAACTATTATA